GATGCATTGTAATTAAATAAAGTTTGTTTTATTTGTTTATATACACTTACTACAATAACATAGACACATCTTCGGTTACAGTAATCATCGTACTGATTTACTTAGAATATGATACTGTGGTCACCAGACGTTTTTTGTTTTTCAAATTTGATATATTTTTGCATGTCATTTTCTAAAAAAACTTGATACAGGTCCAACCTTAACGACATCCGGCTGCACACTAAGCGTGAGCCGCGTTTTACTAAGCCGTTTTACTATTTTAATTTTTAATTGTTTGTTAACTATTGATTTTCTAAAAATTATTTATTAAAATCACTTTATATTACGATTACTTTTAAGTACATGCAATTTTAATATAATTTAGTGCTGTAATTACGATGTAAAACGGAAAAAGGTTTTAAAGTCGACGCTGTTTCGGATTTTTTTTTCGATTGAACAAAGTACAATGTATCGTGTTTTGAACTTTTGAACCCTTAATATCATTCAATAAAGAATTTATCTATGATATTCTTTTCTGACTTAAGTATAGTAATTTGATTATTTAAAGTTAATTTTAGAAGAGCCAAAAATGGGATAACCCGCCGTTAATGTCTATTTGAAATTTAACGAGACAAACTTTTATAATAACGTCGTATTAAATGGAAGGCAGGTGGTAAAAGTTACGTCTAGGAATTAATTTACTGTTTTTAAACGACTTCAAAATGGAGGAGGTACTCAATTCGACTGTATTTTTTGTGTGCTACCCCATAACTTTTTTCTAGGTAAACCGATTTTGATGATTCTTTTCTTTATTTGAAAGCTGGTGCTTCTCATGTGGTCCCATATAAATTTGAGGTCTGATCAGTAGTTTTTGAGCAATCCTTAATAATTTATATTATTGAAGTCGGTTGTACAGTTGTTTTTAAGAACTCTGATACGTCCGAAGGTTATTTTTAGTAGTAGCAAAGACATTTAAGTAGTAGTAGTAATAGACCGGACATCAGCAGCAAAATTGTTGTCTGTAACTTTTGTCCTATAGGATATATCTCATTTAGTCTTAGTGACATCGTCAAAAAGTGAAGACGCATTCGTTTCATATATTTAAAAAATATTTTTTAAAGAAAATATGCCCGGTTGTACATTAAGATATTGTAAGTCACTATATGGAGCAAAAAATGAACGTAATTTCGGTTCATTATCGTAAGTATAACATATATTCTGTCTATGTAGTCTGAATGAAGATGTAGTGACAAAAATTTAGACAGGTATGCTGAGATGGTTTGGCCATGTCGAGAGAATGAATGAAGAACGATTGACGAAAAAGGTGTATAAGGCGAGTGTAAATGAAAGTGTTGGAAAGGGTAGACCTAGGCGGACGTTTCTAGACCAAATCAGGGACGTCTTGAAAAAAGGCTAGATCAAGAGTACCCTCAACCGAAGAGCATGTATGAACGCAATAATGAAAGTGGACGAAGCGAAACAAGTATGTAAGGATCGTAGCAAGTGGAAAGAAGTGGTCTCTGCCTACCCCTTCGGGAAAGAGGCGTGATTATATGTATGTATGTATAACATATATTTACCGAATAATCTTTAAATTTTGTTATTTTTAGTAGATTTTTCTAGAACATTTATTTTTATTGTAATAAGTGCCCTCTGTTATCCAGTAAACATCACTATTTAGTTACCAATGTTAAAGTTAGTGATTGACGACGTTTATCGATTGGGGTTGTCGATAAAAAATATACAGGATACCGATTTAATCCTTTACAATATTTAAGGAGGTAAAACAGTCAACGATACTGTACCAATACCAACAAAAATGAGTAGCATATACCAACTATGCTAAGTAGCCTACTTTATGTGGAGCAAGGGTGAGAAATTTTTAAGGTTTTACACCGGGCTTCATTGTCTGGTGGTTTTCAAGGACAAAGCCATTATAGATCCTAGCTTACAGTGATAGGAGAGGGCTATAGGTTTGTTACATTAAAAACAATTTGTACTGTTAAAGATATTAGATGCAAGAAGTTGTAGGTTAAGCCTGAGTTAGAAAATAAGGTAAAAACTTAAAAAAACAATTTCTATTGATGTGGGTAATGTTTTTAAGTACTGCAGCCGATGAAACTAGAAAAATCGTGAAACGGCTTATAATAGTTCAGTTTTTTCATGAAATACCAAAGAGTATAATAAGTATATACAGGAAAAGAGAGCCCTCTGACGATATTTTATTGCAGACAAAATTGAACTACTAGCGTCTCCTACAAATTGAATCCGAACTAATTCGCAATATATAGCTATATTATGTACATCATATTAATTTAACTATTATGTTCTTTAATTCGCATACTTACTGAAACAATTTCTACTTTTTTTGTAATAATAATTTATACTTTTAATATTAAAAGTAGGTAAATAGTTTTAATAAGTACACTTGTATTTGTAAGATAATAATGTTACGCGCCACTATTAATGTCTTGTACATGGCAACACTAGTTACACTAGCGCCCTCTAGTGTCGAGTAGCAGAACTAGGAGAGTCGAGATCCTTCCAGAAATTTCGGGACCGATATGTACTCGAACATTCTAGATGTCGCTACAGTAGAAGGTTCTGGAAACTATCTGAGGCCCTATATAAGACCGGTATAGACCACGACCGGGGCAGTATTGAATTGGCGATACAAGAGAATACTTCGAAGCGAAATAACGGCGAACTGTGTTTTATTATTAGTGTGTTTTTAGATTGTAATTAGTATCCGTAATTAAAGTGTCAATTTTGGTAATTTAATCGGCAGTTTTTAATTGTCTCGAACCCCAAGTTCGTAACAATTGGTGTCAGAAGTGGGATCAAATATGCCGATTTTACCTAAAGACGACACGGAGGGTATCCGTACCCGAAGTCAACGCCAACAGGAGACGGACCAGAGACGATTTGGTAATGCAACGCTGCAAACGTCGGAGGGCCAGTTGCTTACCACGGAGGCTGGCCCGTCAGCAGCTCCTGCATCTGCAGCACCTGACTTAGGTGCTCTGATGATGATGCTGCAGGATCAGGCTCGCCGACAGGAGGAACAGGCCCGCCGACAGGAGGAACAGGCCCGCCGACAGGAGGAACAGACCCGTCGGCTGGAAGAGCAGCTGCAGCGCGGTATGGAAGAACAGATGCTCCTCAGGAAGGATCTTCACGCTACCTTCGGGAAAGAGATAAAGGAGGTGAAGGATAGGGTTGCTCAACATGACAACCTCCTCTCGGAAGCTGAAACCCGAATCGACCAAGTGAACGATCGGGTTGACAACGTGATGGCTGATGTGAAGAAAACGCTGGACGACCTCAAACTTGGGGATGGAGTTACAGCTCCCGTGGTAGCTACAACACCTTCGCTACGTGGATTCAAAGTGCCGCCGTTCGACGGGACTTCTTCCTGGTCGGCCTATAAAATCCAGTTCGAGGCTGTCATGAAAGCGAACGGCTGGAATAAAAGTCAGGCCATGACTGCTCTCACACTAGGCCTGCGCGACCAGGCATTAACTGTTCTGGAAGCTCTCGGTAAGGAAGTGACTTACGAGCAGCTCCTTGAGGCATTGGAGGCGAGATATGGCGACGCTCACCTGGAACACGTCTTTCGTGCGCAGCTCAAAGATCGCGTGCAACACAGTAACGAAAACCTGCAGCAGTGGGCCCTTGAGGTGGAGAAGCTGGTTCGAAAAGCGTACCAGTCTGTACCTGCGCTTATTGTAGGGAACCTGGTGCAGACATTCATCGACGGCATCCGTGACCTTGAAGTCAGAGCTGCTGTGAGGCTCGGGCACCACGAGACGCTTAAGGACGCCTTGACCCATGCACTGGAGGTGGAAGCCGTGCGGCAGGATCATCGTTCCCACCGCGTCAGGGAGGTTGCAACAGCTAAAGTTCAGGACCGCAATAAAAGCTACAGCCCTAGGTGCTACGGCTGTGGAGAAAGGGGCCATCTTCGATCCAGCTGCCCTAAGCGAACTGTAGGAAGGGAAGGTGATCGATCTCGAGAGGGTAGTGCGGATAATAGCACCGCCCAGCAGCAGCAGGGAAACTGGCGGGTGCTGGCTGATGTTAAAAGAGCCCCAAGGATTTCGATCTCACAAACTCATGATGGGAACAGCCTAATCATCAAGGGCGAAGTCAACGGAACGCCATGTAAACTGACCATAGACACTGGAGCCTCTCGCACGGTTGTCAGTTCCCAACTTATAAGTCGGTTCCTCGGTGACTCCGCATACAACCGAGAACGCATTAATTTGGTGACAGCCACTGGTCAGCGCATACCCGTCCGTGGAGAGAAGGAGATGGAGTTGAAGCTAGGCAACATGATCTACCTGCATAATGTCATCGTGGCTGATATAATGGACGACTGCATCCTGGGCCTAGACTTTATGAGGAAGAATTGTTGTGAGATCGACGTTAAGCAAGGTGTTTTGAAATGTGGACAAGAAGAACTTTTCATGGAAGGGGCGTTACCAGGGAATGTGTACAGCCTTAAGAAGATTGTTCTTCCGCCGAAATCGGAAACGATTGTGCCGGTTAGTCTTCCTCGGAGTCCTGGGCAAGCTCATCGTTGCGTACTCGTGGAAAGGGTAGACAATGACCTTCCATGGAAAGTGGCTCGAACCTTGGTCAGAACCACCGACACCTCAGGAGTACGTGTGTTGAACCTTTGTGATCAGGAACAGATTATAGAAAAAGGCACATTGGTTGGTACTAGTGAGGAAGTGGATTGGTTGCGTCGGTGCGAATATCTATCGACCGGGACCCCTAGCAAGGATGGACAAACGAGAGTGACCACACTTTTAGAAGACTGTCGCAGCGTTCTCTCCCCGAATGAAATGGTCAAGGCGAAGAAGTTGTTACTCAAGTACGCCAATGTTTTCTCGTCAAACGAAGCTGACATAGGAAAGACTGGCTTAGTTCAACACAAAATAAACACAGGACAAGAATTGCCTATTCGTCAGCGGCCAAGAAGATTGCCTGTAGCACGTGAAAAGGAAGTGGAAACCATGATTGAGGGAATGGTGAAGGATGGTGTTATTGAACCTTCATCTAGTCCATGGTGTTCACCTGTGGTGCTGGTAAAGAAGAAGGACGGCAGCATGCGGTTTTGTGTTGACTACCGCCGCCTGAACGACGTTACGAAGAAGGACAGCTATCCCTTGCCTAGAATTGATGACACGCTGGACATGCTCACAGGCGTAAAGTGGTTTAGTACGCTGGACCTGAAAAGTGGCTACTGGCAGGTTGAAATTGAGCCTAAGGACAAGGAGAAAACTGCATTTTCCACAGGAAAGGGTCTGTGGCAATTTAAAGTTATGCCGTTTGGATTGTGCAATGCTCCAGCAACGTTTGAAAGATTGATGGAACTTGTACTTACCGGGCTAATTGGAGATGCCTGTCTGGTCTATTTGGATGACATCATCATCGTAGGCCGTACGTTTGAGGAACACCTTCAAAACCTGGAACGCGTGCTCATGAAGATCCAGAGTGCCAACCTCAAGTTGAGTCCAAAGAAGTGCTCACTATTCAAACGGCAAGTTAGTTTTTTGGGGTATGTAGTGTCGGAAGAAGGTATCCGCACGGATCCAGAGAAAATTGCTGCTGTCAAGGAGTGGCCGGTCCCAAAAGACAAGACACAGGTTAGAGCATTTTTGGGTTTGTGCTATTATCGGCGATTTGTGAAGAACTTTGCAGATATAGCCAAACCTCTGCACAAGCTAACCGAGGAGAAGCGACAATTCTGCTGGGATGAAAGTTGCGATATTGCATTCCAGGAGCTCAAGAACCGCCTGTGCAAAACACCTATTTTGGGGTACCCTGATGCGGGCAAGGAATTCATAGTTGACACAGACGCAAGTGATATAGGACTTGGCGGTGTGTTGTCTCAACGGAATGGTGATCAAGAGATTGTGATAGCGTACTTCAGCAAGTCGTTGTCAAAGCCGGAAAGGAACTATTGTGTCACAAGACGGGAATTGCTTGCTGTGGTAAAGTCCTTGCAGCATTTTAGCAAATATCTTCTAGGGCGGAAATTCCACTTACGAACTGACCATGCTGCACTGAAATGGCTATTGCAGTTCAAAAATCCGGAAGGACAAGTTGCGAGATGGATAGAACTACTGCAGGAATACGACTTTGTGATCGAACATCGCAGCGGGAAATCTCATGGCAATGCAGATGCATTGTCAAGAAGACCTTGCCCTGAAGATTGCAAGCATTGTACTAGGCAAGAGGGTAAGGAAGTGGTATCTGTGAGAATGCTCAGGACAGACCAGCTCAGCAATGAGTGGAAGGACAGCCTACAGCATGCACAGCAGGAAGATTCGGACATTAAGCCGATTCTGGAATGGATGAAGGCCAGTGCTCCTAAGCCCAAGTGGAGCGACGTCTCAGCAATGAGTTCGACCACAAAAAGCTATTGGGCCCAATGGGACAGCTTGCTGATTCAGGATGGAGTCCTGTGCCGTAAATGGGAAAATGGTCGGGGAGACAGGTGTCATTTGCAAATGGTTGTCCCTAAGGCTAAAGTGCCGGATATTCTACAGATGTACCATAGTGGTTGTTCAGGAGGCCACCTGGGAGTTAAACGAACTCTCCTGAAGATCCGAGAACGGTTTTACTGGGTCCACTGTCGTGACGATGTCGAGGACTGGTGCCGCAAATGTACAAGTTGTGCGGCTGTAAAGGGACCTCAAATTCGTAGTAGAGGCGCATTGAAATTGTACAATGTTGGTGCACCATGGGAGAGGATAGCCATTGACGTTGCGGGGCCGTTTCCAGAAACTGAAAGTGGTAACAAATATTTCATGGTAGTGATGGATTACTTCACTAAGTAGCCAGAAGTCTTCGCCATTCCAAATCAAGAAGCTTCAACAGTTGCAGATAAACTAGTTCATGAAGTCTTCTGTCGTTTTGGAGTACCTTTAGAGATTCACAGCGATCAAGGAAGGAATTTTGAGTCTCAAATATTCCAGGAAACTTGCCGAGTTATGGGTACTCAGAAAACACGAACAACTTCTTACCACCCACAATCTGATGGAATGGTAGAAAGATTTAATCAGACATTGGAGAGGTACCTAGCAAAAGTTGTGGAAAAACGGCAACGAGACTGGGACAGGCACATACAACCGTTTTTGTTGTCATATCGAAGCGCTGTTCACGAAAGTACATCAGTGACACCAGCTTTCGCAAACTTTGGGAGAGAATTGCGGCTGCCTGCAGACCTGATCACCGGAATACCACCTAATGCCCCACGCAGTATAACCGATTATGCAAATGACTTGCGGAACAAAATGAATGACATTTATGAGCACGTCAGACAGACGGGCCAGCAAACGTCTGAGAAGATGAAAACACGGTATGACCGCAAAATGAACAACAAGGGCTTTGATGAAGGTTCACTAGTGTGGTTACACAATCCAGTTCGCAGCAAAGGGAAATCTCCTAAGCTTCAAGCTAAATGGGACGGACCGTACCGGATTGTGACAAGGATCAATGATGTAACCTACCGGACACAGAAAGGTGCCAGAGGTACTCCTAAGATTGTCCATGTGGATCGACTGGCGCGTTATTATCGGGCCAATAATGCTCGGGACGAGCATGTCTTAGGAGGGGGCAGTGTTACGCGCCACTATTAATGTCTTGTACATGGCAACACTAGTTACACTAGCGCCCTCTAGTGTCGAGTAGCAGAACTAGGAGAGTCGAGATCCTTCCAGAAATTTCGGGACCGATATGTACTCGAACATTCTAGATGTCGCTACAGTAGAAGGTTCTGGAAACTATCTGAGGCCCTATATAAGACCGGTATAGACCACGACCGGGGCAGTATTGAATTGGCGATACAAGAGAATACTTCGAAGCGAAATAACGGCGAACTGTGTTTTATTATTAGTGTGTTTTTAGATTGTAATTAGTATCCGTAATTAAAGTGTCAATTTTGGTAATTTAATCGGCAGTTTTTAATTGTCTCGAACCCCAAGTTCGTAACAATAATATATAAAAAGGGTATTTGCAATGTTACAGGAATGACAATTTAATATGACAATTATTCCATTTTTTTTATTATAAAATGCTGGTTACCAGTATCATAATTGTCATATTTATCGATTGATTCGATAATTATTACGTGTTTTTATGTTAAAATGATAATTTTCTATCAATAAAATCACCAATAATTTTTTGGTGAACTTATTTTTATTTTGTAAGTAAATTTCATTTTATTTTTCCAAAGTAGCGACATCTGTGAAGCCATAAGACCAACTATAAACAAATTATTTTTGGAAACAAATTATGGATGGCGCCACCATCTATTAAATTTTTGTGGTTCAAGGCAACTGTCCTACGCCTGGTAGATACTAATAGTGATATTTCATAGTTCGCGAACTGGATTCCCACTGTCATTTTAAGTGCTGCTTTAGCACGTGCTCTCTAATGATAATTTATTATATTTAATTAATATTAATAAATAATTAAATTTATTTATTTTGTTTATCAAATAGGTGAGTACCGCGAGCCAATGTAGAAGCTCACTGGTTATATGCCGTGTCATCACCACTACATTGTCGCCACCATTAAACAGTATTCTGATGTAAATCTGACTAAGAATACTCGTAATATCCTGATAAAGCAATGAGCGCACCTGCACGCAATTAAAACATGCCTTTTGTTAAATCACTAGTTTTTTTTCTAAAACCAACAAAATAGGTGAATAATATCATAGGTTACAATATATATATATATATACCTTAGAAAGTATTGATTTATTTCAGAAAATTGATATTGAGAGTCATCTCACACATATAAATATATCAACAAAAATTTTAGTATAGGCGTAACTTTTGTCGTTACTTTGTCATCTGCTTACTAAGGCAGGTAATTTAAACATAAATGTTTCTTTAATGTCTAATAATACAAATTTCTTTTTGATTAACATGCCGGTAACCTCAAAATTATAACGGAATATTTTAACGAGTTTAATAGGTAAATAATAATAGTTCCGCAAGTGTTACGCGCAAGCAATTGATTTAATCTACGTACTAAGTATTATGCAAATGTAAATCGGTGGACTTGGGTTAGAATCAACGCAGGAACGTTCGCAGCAAACTTTTACAACACTTGTATAGTACAAGTGTTCTACAACATTGTAAAGTTTAAAGATTCCAAAATCAGTCATTTGTAAAAAAGGAAAGTTGAAGTTTGTATAATACGTCCCTATTGAGCTGAGGCCTCAACTAACTTTTGTAGCGGCTATGGAGCAATTCGTTCGCCGCGCTGCTGCGTACTGGTGAGCCGCATGCTCGTTTGCCCCCTCTCCTATAAAAAAATAAATAAATAAAAAAACTTCTCATGTCCTCTAAATATTTTATATCTCAAACATGCAGATATTACAGTAAATTAGTTCTTAAAATACTAATTAAATTACTAAAGAAACTACTAACTAACTTAAGAAATAATTTATTATAATTTAAAAAGTTCATTTTTTCCTTATTGGATTTGCAATGCGTAAAATATGTCTTAAATTACGAATAATTTGTCGCTGTTTCAAAATTTTTCATCGTGATGATTAAATTAAAATCCATTATGAAATGAAAACAGAATTGCAGTGTACTTTGCACAAAATGGTTATAGAGACGTCTGTAACTTTCGACGCTTCAAAAGCTATGCATCGGCATTGACCCTCCAAGAATTAGTCTCCATGCTGTTAGACCATACGGGCTGTGCACGTATCAAAGCCAAACCCTATTAAGAAACAAAAAATATTACCCAGTGTAATGAATATTCCCGCTAGAACCAGGTAGCGAATTATTAAACAAGACCTGAAGCTAGGTTCTAACAACGATACACAGGATATGTCCTAAATCAGTCCCTGCAGCCGGTCGATCAAACGCTAGCTGTCTCAATACGCTGGTGGAAAACAGAAATGTACTATTTACAGATTCAGGAAAACAAAGAAAAATAGACAGAACACTAATATAATACACTTTTTATATTTTTCTTAGTAATAATACACTTTTAAAAGATGTACTGTGAACTTTCCTGCAAGACTCTGCATCAGGTCAGTCCACAAGGCCTTCTCCAAACAATACTCCGATATTAAGTCCCTAAATAAATTTTAAGAGCTAGCAGTAGCTATATTCCCCATGAAAACAGTGCGCAAATCCACAAATTTGTGGCCAGAGAGATGTGGAAAGACTTGTATCAAAGTTAAAAGCGATCTATTTTAATGAATTTGTCAACAATTCGCCAAAATATCGACTTAAGTTGTATTTTTGCAGTTTCTTAAAAAAAATATGCATTTTAATCTGAAACAGAACTTCTGTTTACCAAATTGGTGCATACAAAGTTATCGCAAGCTTATTTAACAATCTTATTCTTTCTTCTTTATCAGCTTCTAGTCCACTGCGCGTGTATATATTATGTAGGAAGGACAAAACTTGCCATGCTAGGCAGGCGGATTGTCGTTCTCTGTACCAGGAAACTTGCAATATTCGCGTTGCATCCCGTCGGCGGTTTGAATAGTGGTCTAGGCCTTTTTGGTATTCTTCAAAATCGCCTCTTAATGGGAAGAAAAGAGTTAATGAATTCTATTACGTCACCACTATTCGATAATATTAAAATATAAACAGAAAATTTACGTGATAGTTCCAAGCTGCAGCTATATTACTAGTATAGTTTCAGCACGAATGGGTCGGCTTGACCGGGGAAAGACTACGCTCTCACAGAATACCAGCGTAAAATAGCAGCTTAACGCTGCTGTGTTTCGTATGGTGAGTGGAACCGGATATCTTTAGTCCTCAGGGGTGACAACACATCTGCATTTTGATTCGTAATCGATGATAGATGTATACGCCTATGAGCCACATCAATCACTTACCATCAGGTGGACTGTGTGCTCGTTTGTTACCCTTATCCTATAAAAAAAATTAAATGTGACACTGAAGCAACAGAACATGTTATTCAAAAAATATAAAATATTTTCATTTATTTTTACCAGCGGCGGGAGCTAGCTCAGACATGGGAAGTGAGCACTATTGCCTGAGGTGGAACAATCATCAGAGCAACCTGCTGGGAGTATTCAGCCAGTTGCTGCACGACGAGAGCTTGGTGGACGTTACGCTCGCCTGTTCCGAAGGTGCCTCCATAAGGGCGCATAAGGTTCGATACTATTTTTACTGTAATTTTAAATAAACATAAATATATTGAAAACACGTATGATTGAGAATATAACGTCAAGTTGTGTCGTATAAGTATAAATTAAGCATGCCGTTAATTTGGTATTCAAATATTTAAAATGTTAAAATTAATTAGCCAAGATGCGCGTGAAAAATAAAAATGATCTGTCTTACTTAGTTTGAAGAGCATCTCCCGCCCTCTCTCTACTGCGTGCACTATCCCCGTCACCAGTAATGCCAACACTAGGAAAAACATACCACCGTTGTTAATGTGACACGTGTTTCGCCTCTAAACGAGGCATAATCAGAAGAAATGGATTTTGCGATGGCTCACATGGCCCGACTCTATTACACACCTGATTCTTTTAAATATTAATATATTTGCTGATGTATGAATTAAGTTATTAATGACTTCATGTCTGCTAATTTAATTATGGTTCCTGCGCTTATATTTATGCATTAGGAATTTAATCACTCAGCTAACACGCACTAGAGCAGAGCGACGCGACGGTCCGCTCCATAAACTTAAAATTATGTAGGTATAATCGCATGTTAGAATTGTAGAGGTGTCGTCCTTTTGCTGAAAAAATGATGTACCTACGGAATTTTCGAAGTACTACGAGGGCGGCACTGAAAATTTCGGGAATCAAGAAAGTGACACAACATTACTATTTATAAATGTATTTATTGCTTTTCGAAGTATTCTCCGCGAAATTTGGACACATTTTTCCATACGATGGAACCAATCATTGAAGCAACCACTCCATTCGGAAGTTGGGGTCTCCAAAATTGCCGTTTTGTAGGCGTCCACAGCTTCTTCATTCTCCTTTAGGTGCGACTCGAGGATAAAACATTTATGTATTTTGTAATTTTTATGTTTACATTAATTTATTTGCATAAATTAATGTAAACATAAAAAATTGTGTTTTATAAAGACATCGACTGGCTAAGTATTTAGTGAATATATTTATAACACATATTATACACATATATATTCTGTTCTGATATAGGTCAATAGTAAGAATCACAAGTGCAAACATCCAAACTCGGAACAATTATTTGTAGGCCATGTAAAAACTTGGTCATACTTGCGCCACTGCGCCATAGAGCCGTCAAAAATGTTATAAAATAACAATAAAATAAATATGACAGAAATATGTAAATATTAATATTAATTCGTTTTCAAACAACCGCGCAAGAGCGTTACAGGCACTTATTTTTCTTAAATAATGTATTGGTGTTCAGTAAATATTTGTCTGTAACTAATGTAATCCGATCATTTTAAATTAGCAACAATTTGCAATATACGAGTATTTATAATTTTATAAAATACTATTACTATAATAATATATTTAAAATACAATTTTTGGATAATTTTTATTAAACTTTAGCCCCGGCTAACATTTCTTTGATAATGTTCTGAGGCATAGTATGTTAAACTTTTCTTCACACGGCATGCGGCCTGTTGACCCATGGTGGAGAAGATAAAATTACATTTTAGTACTCTCATTCAAGATCATTTAGAGAAGTTAAAATTATTGTTTACTAGCTCATACCCGGTGCGTTGCTGCCACAGAAGAAATTATTCTGGAAATTTCGTTTTAAATTTGAAAGTATTAAATTGTTTAATTAAAAATAATAATGATAATGATAAATAACTTTCAAATGAATTTGTCGGTACAATACGTGCACCACCTACTGTAAGTTAATTGTACTATGCCTATAACGTTCGCATAAGTGCAAGCAATTAGTTGACAAAGTTTTACCGCAATATGATGAACGGTATTGCAGCGCATAAAATACGAACAAACAAACATTAATTTTTAGGTATTAAATTGATAAAGATCATGGTAATCTTTGAAACCTTTCTACATTCCAATGTAGTAGAAAATCTACAATAAACATAATGATGAATGTTACAATTGCAAATAATAAGTGCAATAAAGTGGATTAAATTAAATTTTCAGGTAGTACTGTCTGCGTGTTCATCGTACTTCCGATCGCTGTTCGTAGACCATCCGTCGCGTCACCCTATCGTAATCTTGAAGGACGTTGGCTTAGAAGAGCTGCGAACGCTCGTCGACTTCATGTACAAAGGCGAGGTCAACGTGCAGTATTGTCAACTGCCCGCTCTCCTCAAAATTGCTGAGAGCCTTCAGGTAAGGACATCGGTTGACTGATCAATGGGAATTACCGCTCTTTTGTTTCAAATGACTGTCGTATAATCGGTTAAGAGTATTAGAAGAACAATCTTGTAGCATCTAAAAAAAATTATAATACTTAACATTATCTACTCAGTAACGAGATCAGCGTCTATGTTACGGAGGTTCAAGTAGTGCTGCAAAATTTGTACAACAAGTCCTCTTTTTTGAGGACATCACCAATCACATTTACCTTCCTGTTGTTCTTTCCAATCTTGACGAATCGACTCTAACCCAAAATTAGTTTAAGGTATTTCTTTTCTACACCGACTAGTAGCGGCGTAAGAGAATCTACTACCCCATATCAGCCCGTGGGTGCTGTAAAAGGCAACAAACAGAAACAGAAACAGGAGATGGGCAGAGGCAGTTTCTCATAAGAAAGCAATTATAATAAAAACATTACGGTTGCCAACCCACTTGCGTGGCAACTATGTCAGATATCCCCCATCTATGGGGGAGGCCAATGTTCGACAATGGAGTCTTGACAGGCTGTAATGAATTAATTAATTTATTTATTCTCTAATATTTATGAAGAAACTAAATTGATAATTACTTAAGTATTTTTAGCTATCAGAAGGTATCAATTTAATTTATTAAACATAATGGTGAGATCACACCAAGACATGAAGCAACGCGACGCGGCGCGTACTTTTTAACATAGTGATGCAAAATAGAACTTTATTAAGTAAACTAAAATACACATTCTATTGAGATAATTCTAAAATGGCCCGTGGCGTCGCGCTACGTCGCCTGCGCCTCGAGACGCCTCGCGGCGTAGCGCGGCGTAGCGCGGCGCATCACGACGCAACGGTGCCTTATTGGTAGGCGCCGCGAGCAAGAACAGTGCTGCGCCACGAAGTGCAGCCTGAAGCCGTCATGACGACTTGTCTCTACTATTAGGCCCGCCACATACATACGGAATTCCATTTCGGAATTCCATTTCGATATTCCGATACAAGATTCCGAACGCAGCAAGTTCATATAAAATATATGACCCGTCACACACGTACGGTAATTTTCCGTTCGAAATTTTGCGGACAAAACGGGATTCCGTGTGTATGTGGCCGACCTGTTCGAAATTCCGAAACGGAATTTCGTATGTATGTGGCCGGCCTTACTATCACCGCGCGACTCAGCGAACGCTGCGTGGTGTCCCGTTGCGCAGCAAATCGTCGCGCTGCTAGCAACTTCACGATGCATCTCACGACGTCGCGATACGTTTCGCGGCGTCGCGCTATGTGGCGAATTGTGATGTCATCCATAGCATCAGAGATAGACATCTGAGTAGTTTTTACACGATAAAACACAACACTTCATCCTTTTCTTCTTAATAGTACGAAAATACACCGGTTTACGATTTTCAACACATAAGCGCACAGGACGAATGCTGACAGTATAATAACTAAAGCCACGATCACTATGATGACGTCAGGACCTACTTAGAATCACAGTGCACAGTTGCTTATGCCGTCTCCTCTTTGTATTTGCTTCATGGATGCGACTAAGGGAAATCAAAAAAAATCTTATGACATTAAATAAATAGCGGTTTAAGCATCTTGTTTACGGTGACGGCATCTTGGTTACGGTTAGTAGCGTCAAAGTTGCGAAAATTATTACTGAGTACAGGTCTGTAACTCAGCTCTGAACAGGTTTAAATATGCACATCACATAAACATGACCCACAGAGATTCAGATCAATGGTAAATTAATTAGCTTAGAGATTGATCGTGAAATGAATAAATAGGTATTGTTTGATTTTTATTCTGTCATGCATCGCTGGTTGTTTAATAAGAGTTGAGTTTGAGCCTAAGAAATTATAATATAAAATATTACGCTGTTTCTTCGTTGTCACTAATATAAAATTGTGATCTAACCATTAACCTACGTAGACCGTGACACGTGTAAGTAAAATAAGAAACACAGAAATCACCAAAAGTATTGTTTGAACCGTAAGTACAGACTACGGAGTCAGAATGCGTAAACACTGACTCACTACAGTAATAACGCAATGTGAGTTGCTGCATTCGCTGTACGTTCAATTGAGCTGATCTGTGAGCTGGATCGTAGCTAAGGCTCAGATACTTGCACCCTGGGCTGAGCCGCAGATTGCCTATATTTATTATGTTACCCCCATCTATTAAATTTTACTGCTATACGAGTACTTTTAGAAGGCTATTGATAGCACCATGATTGAATAATTTTATATCGATATATATGGTTGTAATTTTTGAATATATACTAGTACTTTTATGTTTTTTCATTTGACACAATCGTAGGTATGTGCTGAAAAAATTCCTTCAACCTCAGGTCCAAGCAAAGTCATTTTAAATATTGTATATTAGTCGGGTTATCATATAACATAGAAAAATGTCCTCCAAATCAAATTTCGGTCACGGCGATCAGTCTCAAAGGAATTTACGAGTGTGTGCGCAAGCATAAGTGCACTGTCTTTTCCCTAACACACAATCCGACACAACCGGAGGGAGATGAAGCGCAGGACTAACGGTTATTAGCGCTTTCCGTGGAAAAGGCGACTACGAAACCAATGAGTCAAAAGAAAGTCTAATAGAAATTGAAACAGAAACTTTTTTATTCAATATAGATTATAAATAATACTTCTGGAAAGTCATTCTTTTGTTAAATTACCACTGGTTCGAAAAAAAAATCTCTGTCCTGGGAAGAACCAGCAAGAAACTCAGTGGAACTTTTTTTTAAATAACAGCTTAATATCATTCATGTTACACAATTAATCACACAAAACAAATTAGAAATAGCTTGGTAGCGATCACCTCATTCCCAGGCGTTATTATCATCCATAAATTCCTTAACATTATAACCCTTTTTAAGCAAACTTTGTTTAATAAATTTTTTGAACTTTGAGCACGTCAAATTTTGTATATTTTCTGGGATTTTATAAAAGAGTGACATATATTTATACATTAGCGGATAACCACTGTCTATCCGAGGCCATGATATCACTTTGGCATTGCTCTTGGTACAACTACCTAAGGATGATAGTGTATATTATATGACTGCTTTAAAATTTTTAACTAAATTGTCATATTTTTCAGGTCAAAGGATTAGCTGAAATGACCACTTTAAGCGCAGCCGGCATTGACACTCGAAACGTCCCAGAGCCAATGGAAGAGGGTCAACCTCAAGATATGAGAGAATGTATAGAACCACACGAAAGATTAGATAACAGAGAAACTAGGGAAAAAGAAGAAAGGCGGGAAGTCAAAGAAACTAGAGAAAGAGAATGTAAAGAAAACCGTGACGGAAGAGACAATCACACAAGGGAAACAAGAGAGGGTAGGGAACTGCAACGAGAAAGAGAGCATAGGGATCGTGAGTTAAGAGAGTCTCGTGACCATCGAGAAATAAGGGAATCGAGAGAAACTCGTGAACTGCGGGACTCGAGAGACCATAGAGAGTTACGTGATTCAAGAGATAATTGGGAACCACGAGATTTGAGGGAAATACGTGATCCGAGAGAATTGCGAGATTCACGTGATCCCAGGGAGATGCCAGACGCATCGCCTCCTAGAATATCTCCTTTGCTGTCAGTCCGCAGATTTAGGTCAGAAACTTCAATCGAAATGCCAACTCCAACACATCCACCTATACCAAAAGATGAACCGCCGGACGAACCTATAGGTCCGCTGTCAACTGAAGAAGATACAGTATCAATAAGATCGAACGGTGCAAATGAAAATATTGGTATGTAAATTTTATTATACTATGTACATATCTGCATGTTATATGGGTTTAGTTCTTAATTATTAAATTCTTGTCTTTAATCTTTAATATTATCTATATGCATTTCCATGCAAAGTTATGCAAAGATTCAATTTTTATTTTAACTTTACATTCATAATCCTAATTTTTTGTAGTCAATGCAATTAAGTCTCTGACAAAAAAAAGTTTTTTTTGTCAGAGATTACATTATTACATTTACAAAATATTAATATTGCGGTAAGTCCTTAAGGTAAAAAGGAAATGCCATCTTTCATTCTCAATCGTTTGATAAAATTTGGTGAGACTCCTGAGTAATTCAAAGTTTACTTATATTTTTAATGTTGAAACTAAAAATGGATATTATAATATATATTTATAAATGTTTTAGATGTTTCGATGCGTTTGTAATTTCATAATTTCTATCTTATTACTTAACCTTATAAAAATGTAGTTAGGTAGTAGGTACCTACCTTTTATGCTTATGCACAATACGTCTCGTAAATTATTGAAAAAAGTTCTAAACACACATTCAGTTTGATACAACTATCCTAATAGTTCGACGTAAAAAATATACCTACCATTAGAAAAAAATATTGAGATTTTTAAAATGAATTATTTCGTAAAACAAAAACAAAAGCAGCGAGAGCTCGAGGAAGACATGAAAAGATACAATAATATATGTAATATAAAACTAACATAGGTAATCTAAGGTTTATAAAATGCGATATAATCCGTAAAACTGTTTTATTCAGCTAGTAAGCTACTAACTATAATTGTGGAAATATCGTTTTAAATTTGGAAGAGTTCTATTGTTTAATTAGGATACATTCATTGAAATTGAATGATATTATATAACTTTCAAATAAATTTATCGGTACGTTACGCGCGCCACCTAGTGTAAGTTGTTTCATGCCTATAACCTTCGCGCAAGTGCAAGCAATAAGTTGACAAAATTTTACCGCTATCTGATGAACAGTATGGTAGCGCATAAAATAGGAACAAGCAATTTTTTTATTAGATGATTGTAGTAAAGTAGTTAAATAATGTAGTCCGTAAATCCGCGTAAATGTAGAGGTTTGTATAAAGCAATCGAATGTCAAAGTTTAATAATTTTTAACACAAGATTGATTTTCTAAACGAACTTTGAAAATAAGCCTTTGTAAAAATTATAAACGTTTGTATTTCGACCTAAGATGTTTTTAAAGTATCCCGGACGTCAGTCTGAGCAAGATTAGAATGGCTCTCCAGCACCTTAAAAACGGCAAGGGCCCAGGCGAGAGCCTACACCGGAGGCGTGGAGCAGAAGTGCGGTGGTCTTGTTCTTCAAGAAAGGCGACAACGCTCTCTTGAAGAACTACAGATCGATTTCCCTTCTGAGCCGCGTCTACGTGCTGTTTTCGAGAGTCATTACGAAACGTCTCGCGCGCAGACTTGACGACTTCCAGCCTCCCGAACAAGCCGGTTTCCGAAAAGGCTTTAGCACCATAGACCACATACATACCCTTCGGCAAATTGTACAAAAGTCAGAGGAGTACAATTTGCCACTATGTCTGGCGTATGTGGACTATAAGAAAGCCTTTGATTCCATCGAAATTTGGGCGGTGCTGCAGTCCCTTCAGCGGTGCCAAGTGGACTGTCGGTATATCGAAGTGCTGAAGTGCTTGTACAGTAGGGCTACGATGGCTATCCGAGTTCAGAACCAGAGCACGAAACCTATCCAATTGCAGAGAGGTGTAAGACAAGGTGACATCATATCCCCGAAATTCTTCACCGCAGCATTGGAAGACGTTTTCAAGTTTCTGGACTGGAAAGGATACGGTATCAACATCAATGGCGAGTACATCACTCACCTTCGATTTGCCGACGATATAGTCCTTATGGCAGAATCGCTGGAGGACCTAAGCACTATGCTCAATGACCTCAATAGTGCTTCCCAACGGATATGTCTTAAGATGAACATGGACAAAACAAAGATCATGTTTAATGTACATGTCACACCTATGCCGGTAGTTGTTGGGAGCACTAAGCTCGAAGTTGTTGACGAGTATGTTTACCTGGGACAAATAGTCCGACTAGGTAAGTCCAACTTCGACCGAGAGGTCAATCGACGGATTCAACTCGGTTGGGCAGCGTTCGGGAAATTACGGCACATCTTCTCGTCAGGTATACCTCAAAACTTGAAAACGAGACTGTACAACCAGTGCGTGTTGCCAGTGATGTCATACGGAACTGAGACGTGGTCCTTCACTGCTGGCCGGGTGAGGAAGCTCAAGGTCGCTCAGCGAGCTATGGAGAGGGCTATGCTCGGAGTTTCTTTGTGTGATAAACTCCGAAATGAGGATATCCGCAGTAGAACCAGAGTGACCGACATAGCCCAACGGATTAGTAAGCTGAAGTGCCAATGGGCCGGCCATATAGCTCGATGAACCGACAACCGATGGGGAAGAAAGGTTCTCGAGTGGCAGCCTCGTACCGGCAGGCGAAGTGTTGGGCGTCTCCCCACTAGATGGAGTGACGACCTGGTAAGATATGCAGGAAGTCGATGGATGCAGGTGGCTCAGGACCGTGCTTTGTGGCATTCCTTGGGGGAGGCCTATGTTCAGCAGTGGACTTGTGAAGGGCTGTAATGATGATGATGATGATGATGATGATGATGATTTACTTATTAACTAATTTGCTTATTTACTCTTTATTGTACACCAAAATATAGAAAACAAGTAGAGTACAATTTAAAGTATAACACGAGTATGTATAACGGGCGGTATTAAGTCATTCTGAAAGTGATCTCTTCCAAACAACCTTTTGGTTGAAATAGAGGGGGATGTAAAAAAATATAGATATTTTCAAATGATATCTAACAAAAAAAAGTATTAAAACGAGAAGAGTAAAAGGTAAATAATATTTACCTAATAGGGTTCTAAGTAATACGATTTAACAAAACTTAAAATATTGAAGAGATTTAGCACGATAGATGTGGAGAGGTAAATAGTTCCACAAACGCACAGTAGAGACAGTAAAGGATTTCATAAAGAAATGTATAAGTAGAACATAATATAACTCTAACACGCCTCTTCAGTATTTTTATTGGTGTAAAAATGTGCTAATTTTTGAATGATGAAAATACATTTATGTATAGCTTAGGACAAAACTATAAAACCTTAGAAGATTTAATTAATAGTCTTAGATTTGTCACTATACATGGTTATTTTTAAAGAGTAACCATAAACTTAAATTCAAATATATAAATAAAAATATACCGTCATTGCAGTTTTTGAAAATACGAGTAAATAAGTCTTCTACTTTTATTTTAAATTATCCCTAATTGAATGTGATATATGGGCAACAACTACGCGTACGCGCGCTCCTATATGTGCGATTCAATAAACAACGTTTTTGCCGACCGATCGACTCCTATGAAAGTGTGTGTGCGTGCGTAGTAAAATAGTAGGCGTTAGATTTTTATGAATTACAATCAGTTAAAATAATGCATTACCATGCATTCTGAATTTAAAGATAAAAAGGACAGAATGTTTGAGATGTTTTTAATTAATTTTTCTACACCATTTGTCTAAATTACTTATTCTGAACCTTCTCTGCAAATTTGACCGGTTATTGCAAAATAACCCTGTATCTTTTATATGTTGTTACGATTGAACTAGCAGAATAGGGAGATAAACTAGCACACAGTCCTCCTGATGGTAAGTGGATGTTGTGGCATTTACAAATATCCTCGATTAGGAATCTAGATGCAGATGCGCGTTGTCGTCGTCTCAACATACTTAATTACTAATTATATAATATATTTTATTGATTCACCATATTTTGACAGGTTTATCAAGCCACCTGAAATAATTTCCCGTCGACTAAGTCCTTACTTCGCACTGGTTTTCATTAACATTTTTTTGTTACTGAAAACTGTCTACCTTTGTATATAACTATTACGTAACATCCCGAACTAATTATATTCTTTGATCTCGTTAGATTCTTTGAAGTAGTTAATATATTCAAAAGCACATCCATGTCCGAATAAGAGGTATCTTTAAGTGAATGTGTTCTTTGACGTTTTGGTTGTCGTGGTTGCCTCTTGGTATTTACTTTTTGTTGATTTTTTATCTACAGGCAGATCTATTGTTTTTTCTTCTTCTGAAAGATAATCGTCTTCATGAATTCCTTCTACATAGCAATTACTGGATACGGATATAAATCGGAGTCTTCTGAAGTAGTCATCAAAATATACTTTTTTTCTTTTTAGTTTCAAATCTGATTTACTCTTTTATTCTGTGACTATTTTCTGTTAGTAGTAAGTAAGTAGTAAGTTAGTAGTTAGTAAGAGGTGTTCTCTTGTTTCTCTTAGTCCCTTGAATTTGAGTTTTTTGTATTCGGCTCCTCTAAACTCAGTTATTTCAAATTGCATTTCTTTTTTTTCTGTAGCAGTTTTCTCTTTCAACATCTTTTCCCGTTTATTTTTTGCCTTTTTAGCTTTTTCTCCTTCTTAATTCTTCTTTTTCATTTATTTCTTCTGATAATATTCTTCCAAACTTTGCTCTTTACCGACAATGGCATTTTTCCTCTTATTGATGTTTTTTTCTTTTTGCTGTTATCGTTTCCCAGCCAAAAATGTTTGTTTTGAATGGAGAGTACAACAATTCCCAAAGCAGTATTTATAGACTGTTTTTGAGTTGTAGCTAAGTTGCTTGATCATGGTACAGCAATGCTTTCATCGAGAGACACTTCTTTGAATAATGCTGGCTCTGAAAAACTTTCGGAAACGTTTCTAGGTGCGGGTTTTTCGTCGTTGTATTCTTTGGTTTGTGATTTTCTGGCGAAAATTGCTTTTGGATAGTTTTTAAGGTAAAACTGTATCAGTTCTGGAGTATTTGATTGAACCTGAAATGTCAACAATTTGGCGACAAGAAAAAGCACTCTCGTGGGTATTGAACACTAAGTTGAGGTATTTGGCTACTTTTTTTGAATTATTTTCTTTTAAATAGCTGTATATTTTCTGAAACCAAGTTTTTATCTTTTTCAGATACGTTTTCAGTAGCTATTGATAGATTTTCCGGCATTTTCAAGTGAAACTGGATGTCTTTATAAAAACTATTTGCACATTTTTTTCAGATCTATTTTTGTTAAAGGGGTTAGGTAAATTTAGTTCCGTTATGATTTTTGCACACCTTCTTGTGGGCATGACTTTAAGGCTAAGACCCACCGGACCAATATTTCTTCTTGCTGTTTGGAAAGGACAGTGTCAATCCTATGGTACAGTTTATTGGTGTCTAGCCTGCTACTTTATTATACAGCGTTATTCGTGGTATCTCAAATGATTTAGCAGCAACGGCAACTTTCATTCCATTGCGAACAGCTTCAATTTTCCCATCTGCCCATCTGTTCGGGCGTATGGTTTTTTCTCGGAGCCATCAGAAATAGACATGAAAACCATTTATGAACACTCATTGGATCCACTGATCGACTTTGTTCTTTATTACTGTCACATGAACTCCAATCAATTTAATTTTAACCTACACTTAAAACATATAAATAACCGGCACAGTGCGGGTCGGACTCGCGCATGAAGGGTTCTGTACCATCGAAATACACGTTTCTAATATAGGCCCCCTTTATTTTTTTATTTATGGCAGCAGAAATACACATTCTGTGAAATTTTCAACTGCCTACTTATTACGGATTATGAGATACAGCCCGCTGACAGACAGACGAATGAATAGCCGAGGCTTAGTAATAGGGTCCCGTTGGTTACCCTTCGGGTACGAAACCCTGAAAGGTGGCTGAAACCGTGTGCCAACTCAAGAAGTTCCTAAGAATACAATCATGGAGACTTGTCGAATTATGGAGAGTCTTTATGTCAGTATTAGTAAATGACACCGGCTATAACCGTTAAAAGCCCATATTTATTCGGCGAGATAAATAAAAAAATAATTCTGCCATTTCAACACTAATCTAAGAAATCAATTGAAGTTTTGCTATAATATATAACAAACAAATAATTGAGAAAAGTATAGACTCACCTTCTTGATGATTTGGTTAGTGAAATTGGATTCTTCTCTACGAGCACCAACACAGTTCAATATTTACCTCGCCATCGTGAAAGTAAATGGCCGATCGCAGAAGTGATGTGTTTGAAGTCCTCGTGACGGCAAATTGAAAGATTACTCGAATTTTATCATTGAACTACCTCACTCACTTGTTCACGACCTCACTTATACATATGAATGACAATACGAATTGTGAGTGAGTGAGCTAATGTTTCGATTAAAAATAGTTCAAGTAGGTAATGGATTATGTATTTTGCAGTAATATCTAAGTGGGTGATATTTCGATATTGAGAAAAAAATATTAATAAATAACAAAAATAATTTTTGAAAAATCCAGTCACATATTTGAGTGTGAAAATAAAATCATCCGCACTTTTTATCATCCTATTTTGCGTTTACTGGGCATAATCAGTGTTGTAACAATTACAGACGTATTATAAATACTAGCTGATACCCGCGACTTCGTCCGTGTTGCTTGATATATTATTAAATCGTATGTGCGAAGGAAAAAACATCAAAAAGACAAAATTTCTTTGTAAACAATGTTATTTGTTGATCCGTTTGTAGCTAAAATATATAAATTATCTGGGTTAGTAAGGCGAGAGAGAGCGACATATAGTTGTGTGAATAAACCCGTATAAAAATCCTTGTTTCTTAAAACTTTAATAACTTTATATTAAATGAATATATCGCAAAGTCTTTTTTAAATAAAGGCCAAATGTCTAAGAAATAAAACTGAGAAAGCCTAACTGAAATCTGTCCAGTAGTTTTTACGTGATGCGATTTATATAGATGATGACTCTGGTAACAACATGTCTTGCTTCCAAAGCACTTTCGAATGGAGGCAACTCGTCTTGTGAATACGCCGGCGAGAGATTCCTCCTCTCAAATGAAGGATACTTTGTGAGTACCTCGTGTAGTAAAATGAAGTACTCCCTCATCCTTAAATAAAATAGACTAGTAACCCATAACTAGATCGCAGTGACGTATTTTGTGAGCCTACTAGCAAGTCTGTTGTCTTTGGTTAGGCGTTTTCATACCAAAATTTCCTTCTGCAATGTTCGTTTTTTTTATAAACGGTAAGTAAAGTGCTCATCTCTGGGTCCATGTCCAATACGGGAGCAACCTATGAAATGGGTTCTATCTTCCAATGAAATTGTTGCCAGCGGATATCGAACCTGAGCTTCAAGTTGCTTGGATTTGGACTGTTTAGCGGGTAACAATTTATAAGTGCTGATTTGTCTCTTGCTCGGCGGTTAAGAAAACATCGTGAAGAACCTGCATGTCTAAGAAATTAATAAAAATATTTTGAAGACATGTGAAGTCTACCAACATTTAAATTTCATTTTTTAGTCAATTGTTAGTGGAATCGATGAAAGCAGTAATCCGATAATCAAATTAACTTAATGTTTTATCCCATTCGGCGTTTTAGCATATTATAATCAATTAGTCTTAATTAAATTGGGATACTATAATCACTCAATCAATAAATCGATATCAACATCGCAATGAGGCGTAACAAAATATTGTAAGCGCTTAGGTACGCATATTATGTTGTAAATAACTATTATTGGTTTTTTCGTGTTTAATAATTTAAGTAAAAATGTTTAAGCTGTTGTTAACCTGAATAAAAAAAAACGAATTTTGTGAACAATTTACCTGACAAACTAGGCTGTATGTGCATAAAATATTTTGTCTAAAAAAGCATTACTAATGTCATTGTCAACTTTGAGCATAGAATATGGAGTGTAGAGTAGAAGGAGAACCATCTTATAAGGTGCGAAAGTTTAAAAAGTGTCCCAATATATACTGAAAATAGAGGTTCCAAAACCTACCACAATAGCGCTGGCGTCTGAAAAACTACGATATGAATATAACTGTTGTAGACTGAGTGAAGTCAGTTGAATTAAAATATTTAAAAATTTCATGACTAGAGTAGTTAGTAAAATGCCAGTATACAAAACCTCAACTATTTACGTAGTACAAAACCAAGCGGATCGGTCGGTCCTTGTTTATTTCTCCATCTTATTCTAATAAATTTTGGCGCTTTTTTTAAATTTATCCTATGCTACTGCAGCGCCACCCTTATTGGACGCGTTTTTAGGGACACTTTTCATATACAGAGATGCCTCCTTCTACTCTACACTCCATAGCATAGAATATGGAGTGTAGAGTAGAAAAAGGACCATAATAAAAATATTTTTAATAATTTTAAACTTATATACCTACAGATTTGTTCGAAACCCTCGGTGCGCGAGTCCGACTCGCACTTTGCCGGTTTCTTTTTATTTTAGATGGGTAGAACAAATAACATTGTTTTAAACGTGCATTGGATCGTGTTTAAGATCAACCATCGGATTTTTATACAAACTACCGACAAAGAAACAGACAACCAACAATGACATCAATAACAAAACGAAATCAGTGAGAAATGCGAGATTACATTTGACTCTTGGCAATTAAATTTGATACACCATAATGATATATTTTTAGGTTATCGATGTGTTCAAGCATTCTGAATTATTCAAAATTTTAAATATTTTAGAGGAGATGCAAGAATTAGTTAATATTGATTTGGCGGGTTTTTAGTGTTCGCAAGGACCCAATAATCGATCATGGGTTTATTACCATCGATGTTTCGATGTTTGACATGTGGCAACATCGATGTTTTCATTTTTGACATCGATGATCATTGAACAGCCCTAATATTATTATAAAGTTGTATGTAGTATTTAATTGCTAAAAGTTCAAGTAAATAACTAAATTACAGTGGAGAAAATCTGCAAATGTATAAAAAATACTTCAAAATGATTTTAATGCACGAGCTACAAACACGTTTTTATTCAATCTGCTTTATTTATATGAGCAGATTGTGTAATCAAATTAATGATTTCAAAAAAATGAGAGAATTATTTAATATTGATTTTAGGTGGTATGTATACCTAGAAAACATTAAGAAATTAAATGTATGGATTTGTTTTGTCAGTAATAATTAAATGTTTGCACTGTAATATGCAGAGGATTACAAAAATCTTCGGATCTGCATCGCTTTGCAAAACAACAAATTGGTGACTCGGGACTGAACTATACCTTTTGTTTTATATGATGCATTACTTACTTTAATTGTATTATTTTTGGATGGCCATCAATTTGTACATTTAAGTTTATTGGAAACACTACCAACTACTTAATTATTTATATATATACATTTATTAACTTCATTCTGCATAGCATTGAAAGGAAGTTAATGGTTTTAGCTGGCAGTCTGTTAGTCTGTATGCCGACACGATAACTTCCGTTCCACTGGACCGATTGACTTTAAACTTGGTATGTGGATACCTAATTTGGGTCCTGTAGGTCAAAGGGCACCAGAGATATGGGATTCACGCAGAAGGAAGTTGTGTTTCTTGAATTTACATTCAACTCGTTTATTAGTAAATTTTCACTTTACTATTGTATTATGCTTGACTATGACACTCACCTAAATATACAATACTAAAAAAACTAATTACAATAAAAATTACAAAGACTTATTTATTATTAATATTATAAGCTATACCAAGACTGTAAGAAAAATGATTAAGAATTGCCACCAACTCACTGACACAGGTGCTATACCCTTCCTCGCAACTCAGCCAGCACCTCATTCTACTCCTTAAAATGGCATTCTGTGTAGCAATATTGCCATTTTTCAGAGATGCATTTAAGCTGTACCTTATTGGATCTTGCTCGGCAATCCTGATGTTTAGAAACATTGTGCGATTACTGCACCCACACTTAAGAAACACAAAAAAAAATGTGGCTAGTAGTGTACATATCAAAATGCTTAATAGTTTTCACTCTACTTTCAGGTCTCAATATGACTATAAATAGTCACAATAGTGGGAGCACACTGGGACCGCGATATTCACCTGTGGAGCAGAGATTGAGTGTACTGAATGCGTTGCCACATCCAGGGCTCCCTCATCCAACACACCCATCTCTGCCAAGTCCAAGAAATGAACCTATTGCTGGCCCTTCTGGCTTACCACCAGTCCAACAGGTGCCGTTAGTAAGTATAATTTAAATTTACTTCTACCTCCATATATTCTAAATGATAAGTCATCATTTTTCCTTAATTATGTAGGCTAGGGTTGTGGGGACTTAAAATTGAAACATCTTGTTTTCCTTTTTTGTTTTATATGATGCATTACTTACTTTAATTGTATTATTTTGGATGGCCATCAATTTGTACATTTAAGTTTATTGGAAACACTAACAACTACTTACTTATTTTTATACCACAATCTCATTTTTAATTATTGCTTTGGTAAGAAAGCTTAGCTTGACTTCTTTATGTCTAGAAGTTCTCCAAATATATTTGGTTTAAATCAATCATAATATAATCTAATCTATAAATAATAAAATCAATCAATCGGTCTGCTAACATCGCACATTGCTGGTCGTTCAATGAAGTTAATGATGGAATACTACATTAGCTTTACATCTCGCATATAAACCACCCTGCTGTGTTGTGGGTGTAAAAAAAGCTTTCAAAAAATGCATGCATTTGGTGAGTGAATCCTTGAAAAGCCTATGTCCAATAGTGTTTAACTTAAAAGATTGCTCTGTGCTCATGTGATGATGCACAACGGTAAAGTTCTTCAGGCTACAGAAATAAAAATATACATTAATATTAAAGCAATCCACCAGTCAACTTCCATTATCATCTGTGGATCTCTTTGAATCTATACAAAACCTCTACAGATATATATTCCATTGCTAATCTTCTCTCAGAAATATTGTGAAATGAACAAATTTATAACTAAAAAAGTATAAAGCTGAAGTAGTAATCTTTACGTTTTAACATTACTTTTTAAATATTTTTTTCTATTACAGTCACTGAAAAAAGAAATAGATTGGGATAGGAGTAATGAGGATAAAGTTGGTGAACCATCAACTGAATTCCGGATGCAACACGAAACAGTAAGTTTATCTGTTGCTCTTTTATAGGCATATTGATGTAGTAGAAGTGTAAATTATTTTTAGGCTGTATGTAAAATTATTTTTTATTATGATCCATAATAAAATTGTTTATAAAAGTAATAATTTTTTTTTAAAGGAAAACAATATTTCATTTACGTTTTTAGTTGCTTTAGAACTATACAAAATATTTGATTTTTATTATGGACTATATAAATGCATTAATAAATTTTAATAATTTTTTTCTTTTTTTTCCTTTATAAGAATACTAGCAGTACTTTATAGTACTGCTAATATCCCTCTAACCACTCCAACTAAGCTTAAAATGCTTGTGCTAGGAGTGGTTCACGACAATAGTCGAATGGCGGGTTCAAACCCACGACTTTTGAGTTTTGCAGCCCGTATCCTTAACCATTAAGGCGACTGTCGCCTGTTTTATAATAACTATTACAATCTTTATTTTTTCTTAGAATATAATGTTTTATATTTGTGTCTGGTGAAAACTTGTAAAAATTATATTGCTACTGCAATGTATTTTATTGTGATTACTGAAATTAATTAATTTTTCTTATTTTTTGCATATTGCATGTGTGTAAAATTTTTGCTAAACACAATAAAGGAAATAACTTAGGTTTGGTTGCATGTTTATTTATTTTTACTATTACATTGATGTAGTTATGCCCTAATATGCCAATAAAAACAACATAACGAATGTTGCGAGATTTCCTCTCTTACGAGACATACACTAATAAAAGTTTAATTTTTGAATACCACCGTAAAATAGCAGATTGATGCTGCTGTGTTTCATATTGTGGGTGTAGAGAACCAGAGACCCATTTTACTGAAAACGAGGCATTTTATCTTAGAGCTCAGGGGTGACAACGCAGCTGGCTTTTGATTCTTGATCGAGGATAAATGTAGATGTCTATGAACCACAGCATTCACTAGCCGTCAGGTAGACTGTGTGCTCGTTTGGCATTCTTATACTATAAAAAAATTACTGAATAATTTGATATAATTTGTCCAAATTAAGTTATTAAAAAAGATGCTTTCATTATATAAAATAATATATACTTACCTATTACTATATATACTTACCTATATATATATATACTTACCTACTACACCGTACATAGTGCACTCTTCCAAAGCAAAATAAACACTAGTATATTGGTCTACTTCTTGTTATAATAATTAATAATACATTAAGTTTTCCATAACTTATATGTTTCTGTTATTATTGCATCTATTATCTTAACTTTCTGAATAAATGAACATAACAGTGATTATAATTTCACTGTCATCAAAATCATGAAGCTTGTTATTTCATTTAAAACTCCTTTCTAAAACTATATTATAGGTTATGGTTCATTTAAGCGCTTTTTTATTTAATTTGCATTTATTCAAAAAGATAAATCTCAATAACAGGATCATAACACAAAGGCTTTTTATAAGAAAAATATGTTTACGCGCTGTATGTGATAGGTCTATGTTAAAAGAAAAAGAAAGAAACTTTTTATTCATTTGATTTGATAAAATGCATGCTTGTTGATGTGCTACGCTATTTTAAAGATCGTGTACTATGCCTTGCTGTCAAGAAGTTGACCTTCATTTTGTTGGCCATCATTTTTTATATTCATTCATTTTGTTTGATATATATTGTGGGCAGTTTTTTTATTTCAATTTTTGGCCATTCCTGCATACGTATCTGTACGAATCGGTGATTCAGTACGCGCGCGCGTTGCTAAACAACAAGGCATTACGCGTAGCCGGATCCCGGGTCACTCCTGCACAGATTTTGGGCAAAAATGAGCGTCAACTTCTTACTTATATAGTGACACTAAGAATATACAGAGACTGCATCTCAATTTAGAAAGTAGTGGTAGAGACATTGCACACAATTTGGTCCGTTCACAAATCGAACCAGAGAAAAAGAAGTTGATGTTCTTTTTGTGGTTGCAGGAGTACGAAGGGTCCGGTAGGGGACGAATAGAGGAAGGGGATAGAGGTTATCCTTGCATACACTGTGGCGCGGCGTTTCCTCACCAGAACAAATTGGCCAGGCACATATTGACGACACATACACTTGAATCACTGAAGTATCGTGACGCCATATTAGGAAGGCCTATGGGTCTGCCAATGATTGGACAGTTTAGTGAGCCAACATATATGGGTATGCCTACAGAAGAGACGCCTATAGACATAGACATTGGTCCTGTAGAACCAGGAAATGTGGTGCTTTGCAAGTTCTGTGGCAAGAGTTTTCCAGATGTATCATCATTGATTGCACATTTACCAGTACACACTGGCGATAGACCATTTAAATGTGAATTTTGTGGGAAAGCATTTAAGTTAAGACATCATATGAAAGATCATTGTAGAGTTCATACAGGTAAGTTACACTTCCTATATTTGTTTTTCTTTGTGTAAACCCCTCATAATTAATTTATGAACTATTAATTACTTTTTTAGGCGAGCGGCCTTTTCGTTGTGTTTTATGCGGCAAGACGTTTTCCCGATCGACCATTCTTAAGGCGCATGAGAAGACACATTATCCGAAGTACGCTCGGAAATTTCTGTCACCAAGTCCCGTCGACACGGAGGAAGAGAGTCCTCATCAATGAGTTTGGAATGGCTATAGTGCACAAATATTTGGCGACACGTTAGCCAATAACATTAGTTATTATTGGAAATAGTCAATGGTGAGAGTTTTGAACAAATGATGGACAATATGTTGTAATTAGTTAAGAATGTGATTAAAACGCCGCAACTGTGATCTGAATGATATGAATAATATTTGATATTTCACTAATAGATAATTGACACACAAAGTTGTTAATTCTTCATTTTAGTTGAAGATGAGCGTTATGGTTTCTTTGTCTCTTTGCTTATTTTTTTCGATACCTTGAATATTAGGTGCTTACTTTACGCCTTAGATAATAATTTTAAACACGATGATAATGATAATGATAATGAGTACCTTAGATGGCATAGCCAAAGTTAGTTAGAGAAGTAAATTTACTTTTAAAAAGAATAACTGAAATTTGCTTATTTTGTTTCATTTTTATTATGAATTTATTCACACGAGAGCAGTCAAAGTTAAAACTATGTAATTGTTAGGTTGCAATAACAATAATAATGCAATGAAATAGGCTTTTAAAATTGAATTGTAAAATATTGTATTAATTTAGAAATGACGTAATCTTTAGAGACTTGCATATTTATATTAGTGATTCCCTCAGAAATGATTTTATAAACCAAATTTAAAAATGATAGTGAGTGCTTTTATTATTATTAGAGACTATACGAAAATCGCACTCAGTATAGTTGGTATCATTAACGTTTAGGGATTTGAAGTTTTTACTAAGTTTACGTATTTTGAAGTTAACGACGCACGCTCCCCTGACGTAACTCAAAAGCAATACTACGACATATAAATGTAAATACATATAGTTTGGTACGTACTATCAGAGTTTTAGGAAATTTATTAGAATATTACTGCTTCAGTAGATCTGTATTTGGATACATGGGGAGGGTCGTGGATGTGTGATCATGGGAATCAAAGCTTTAAGCACAGTTCAGGTTCTGTTCGTTCATTATGCCTTTCGTCCTCTTTTGAATTAAATATCTGGTAACATTTTTAATGGTTACCAGATATTTAATAGCGAGCTATTGAAAATTACTTTTCTATTTCATACAGCATAACCACATTCTATTGTTATTATTGTAGTAAGTTTCAAATGCTAAATCTATATCCATATCCACATATAATTATTTTGTAATATATGCATACAATTATAAATACATATTCACAATAACATAGTTCTTTATTAGTAAATTGTAAGCATTTGAAACTTCACAATTATTGTGTTCAATAAATGAAACAGAGTTAAATACAGGGATATTGTACGAATGTTAATTTAACTAGACAACACAATTTTTATTTAAATAATAATGCAGAATTATTATTTCTGTATACATCACAACTGATATTAATAACTGAAGCTTTGATTTGGTGATGATTGGTGGGTTGATGTAATCGCTGCACATTTTGGGTGACATTGACTTGAACTGAGAACCTAACGTATAACGGTAAGGTCTGAGTGGAGAGTGTGAGTACAACTCGAGCGGCCGCCACTCAGGACACTGTAAGGCAAGCGCGTGTGCTTGTCATGCTCGATGGCTTACTCCCGAAATATATTTCGAATTCGATTCGGTATTCGATTCAAACTGGCATTGTTTCGAACCTAATTTTCCCGAACCAATTCGTATCGAAAAACACAATCGAGTTACAATCAGACGTCATCATGCCTTTAGACATGTGTCTAAGTTCATTTTTTATTTTGAAAATCATGTTTATTATATTAAAAATTCACTTTAACATTTTTATCACATAACTCGATGAATTTATCAAGAACAGCATTCTCGTCTCTTGCGATTATAAGCGAAATGTGGCAGCGGACAGCTGAAAACTTCCGCTCTGATAATTCCAATTTGAAACACCACTCGATTGTGCGCTTGCTACGGTTTCGGGAGTACGAAATCACCATTGAGTTCGAATACAATACGATTGATTCAGAACTCCATTCTGTCGGGAGTGGCCGGCTGTTGTCTATACAAAGTTGACCAAGCTAAATGAATTTCGTGACGTCATTCGTGCCTGTATCAAATGTCCCGTGTACATGAGCACAGACTAATATTTTATGCTGCATGGGAAGGGACGCGGGCGGCATTCGCCTTTTGGTCTTGGGCAGCTAGTAAAGAACATGATTTGATAAAACAAAATGAATGAAATTGTTGTGCGCATTGCCTAGTTAAAGTAAAAAAGATTTTTTTTTGAATTGCTAAGGTAACTCTGGCTTAAGCACATATTAAATAATTGTTTAAATAATTGTATAGCGGTGAAACATAAATGATTCTACTAGTCTATAGACTTACCTGATCTTTTCATAATCTTTATAAGACCTTATTACATATCATTTGAATATTTCGTAGTGTTTTAAACTTATTTTGAAAGGAGTATTGGACAAAATTTTCCCTGGAAGTCTGGAAGAAAATTGCTTGGACTTTTTAGTAATTATTATAGAAAAGATTTCATTTTTATAGGTGAAATGATATCATTCGGAAGTATTATGGTAATTTAGAAAAGATCTGTGATATTTTTTAAAATGTAAGCACTACATCTGGGCGATATAAAAAACCTCGATCTCAGATTGTGATTTCAAAGTAGTAATATTAGAGCGATCGGTTTCGCTGCTTGTTGGTTAAATTATTTACGTCATAACAGTACCTAAGTTTAGGCGCTGCTATTATTGATTACATATTATTACAGAAATAATTAGTCATTTAAATATAGTTCATTTGAAATTTAATGGTTGATGTTCCGGGATTTAGAAAAAAAAATTATATTATAAGTGAAAAAGTAGATAAGCTATGTGCAAAAAAACAGATCTCATTCTTTTAAGATTTAGACTAAGGCACGGCAGAGAATTACTGCTGCGCCTTATTTGATGAAAGTAACTTTGTTTTGTTCTATATACAGTTGAAACGATAAACAATAATACAATTATTGCTTTCGTTGTTTTTTGACATTCCCAAGAGCAGATTGTCTTGCAGATTGGTCTTAATTTTATATTCCACTGATGTCATTAACTCATAAACTATTAAAAAAAATTATTTTGTTATATTTTGCTTCTTAATATGTGAACGTCTAGAGTACCTTAGCAATTATATTAAAAGTAAGGCATCTTAATTATTGTTAACGAAGAAGAGGGTAGTTAAAAATTGCCGCGGTAGTTTTTAGTGAACCCTTCCAACTGCACGTGGTAAAGTAATTAGATATTAAGACAAGTGCATAAGTGTTTGTATTTGGAAGGTTTATTATGTTTATGAAGTGGGCGCGAGCGCACGGCGTACCCCGTTATCCGAATGTTTTAATTATTTGAACATTCCACGCTGTTTGATGGAAGTTTAAATTTACTTCATTCAATCCAGTAATTTTAACATATATTTAATCGTTATTGTTTTAATAGTCACATTTTAACGAGTTCATTGATGTTTGTACACTTATTTTATACACAAAAATACTTCGAAAGCTCATAAAAATTTAAATCCGAAATCATATTTAATTTGTATCAACTCTGAGAAGACATGTAATCACGTAATTAGAGTAAATAGATTGGTAGATGCGCTACTTCCCGGAGTTAGAATGTTTGGATCATTGTAATATTCATAAGTAAATGAAAGAGACACGATAATGTTTCTATTTGAAAAGCTGCACTGTTTTTCTTTTCCGGAGCCGAACGTTACCAAACTTTATAGCAATATTGCAAACTTGATTCATGTTCCTCTTCTTATTTTAAGAAAGATTGAATATTTACAATTTACATAATAAATTAATAGCAATAAATAAATAAATAAATAAATAAATGGTTGATAATGATGCGAATTAACAAATTTGTACGAGTATCAGAATAGTTTTATAATAGAACAGAATGCAGTTTAAAATAATATTTTGTTTCCTAACTTTCAGAGGTACTATTTATTAATTAAATGATAATATTGTTATAATTATATTTCTATGCATTGACATGTATATATAGGCAGAGTGGTGAGAGTTGTTAGTGAATTGTACTGTAACAAACCCAAGCAATAGTATTTATTAATGAACCCTAAGTGCAGTTATTCAAATTTTAACATTTTTCCACTTGTTACCACGTCCCTGCGAAGTTCACACGCCATTAGCACAAATATAAAATAAATAGTTTTATCTATTAAAATAAAATATATATTATGTCAAATTATCGTAGATATATTTTTTTTGTCAAGTATCTACCGAGCATGATAAAATTTAAGGGAAAATCTAGCACGATATATTTCTTGATTTGAAATAGTTGAAACATAGATTCATTTTATACTATAAATTGTGACCACAGTTTTATATTTAGAGTGCCTCTTGCCTGTATAAGACTTATATAAAGGCTGCAAATCACAGAATAAACATAGTTTACGTAGGGGATGATCGAATAGCGAAAAAATATTGCAATTTTATGGTGAAAATTGTAAGTTGCGTTATGATATGTGACTTGCTTTGTATGGTGGTTGAAATAATTTAAAAAAATCCGCTCTAACCCAACATATTATAACCAAAAACAGAAAACGGTCACTGTGGTGGCTGGAACGAGCATCTCCGCAGTCAGCGCATTCCAATCTCAGATATAATGATGTGGTGGACAAATGAGCCAGTGCAAAGTTATTTTCATGACCAATTCTAGAACAATAGAAATTTCCTTGTAGCCTTAAGGTAGTATTGTTAAGTTTCACCCACGAAATGGCATTGAGAGCCAAAAAAGCGTTAGCATACACTGGTTCGTTGTGATTTTACTGTTTTAAGTGGCATACCTAAATATAGAACTTATATTGCAATTGTTTCTAAGTTCCTGTAGGTGTATTAATTATTGTATGTTGGTACAATTTGTTTATTGATTGTAATTTGTTTATTATAATTTATTTAGATTTTAATTTTCTCGACTACCATTTGCATTGGCATAATATACAATTCAGGTAACATTTAGATGGAAATGTCGGATTTCCAACATACATGATGTGTCGGTCTGATATATCCGTCGATGTAGTTTTCTATTGAACTCGGATGACGTATTCTTGATTGTGTATTATGCTCTGATAAATTTTATTCAGCACAAGTTCAAATAACGTAGGTCCATTTATTTATAGAGCTTAGTAATAATTGTTTATTTGTGGAGAAGCAGTGATTATTTCCCTTTAAGCTGTTTTATTTAACATTCATTGTTGACATTTTAGATTAGAAAAATCTGTTTTGCCTTAACAATATTAATAGTTCATAATGTTTTAACAGAGAGCAGTACAGTTTTGTTGTAAATTAGATGCAGTATATCAGAAAGATCGAGGATCAAATTGGTGTAAAGTTTGTCAATTGTGCAACAGTTTAAAAAGACCCGTAGCTGTTGATCATTGTAACTTTTGAAACAAATATAAGCATATCATAGCTGTAAAAATACAATTTTGACAAATAAAAGCTCTACAATCATTACAGAATCATACTTTCATTTACCAAACCAGATATAACCTTTTACGATTTAAACAGGTATGTTGATATTTTATAAAAAAGTTATTGTATTAAAATAGGCAAAAATATGTAAATTAATTATTTTCTAAATTATTTTTTATTTTCCTTTGCAGATGTGTTTGGACATGACATGTGGATCGCCCAGCATTCCCAGTCCAATTCCATCACGAAGCCCCACGGCCCTGCCCCTGTGGTCTCCATTGCTGGCTCTGCAAGCATGCCGTCTACGCAGGTATCTCAGTGATGATTGTATGACGTATCAAAGCCGTCATTTACTCCATTCTGAACGACGTCGATGTGGCGTCTGCCTTGCTTCTTTTCCCTCTTCCTGGCTCCTTGAACGCCATGCCGCTCTCCAACATGCCTCACAAACGTCCTGTGACGATAAGCCTTTCGTATGCGAACAGTGTGGACAGAGCTATAGATATAGGTCAGCATACGTCAAACATCGAGAGCAAAACCACCGGGCGCGACTACCTGCTGATAAGTTATTTACGTGCGATGTATGTGGCATGCAATTTCGATACCTCAAGTCCTTCAAAAAGCATCGCCTAAATCACACATTAGAAAGACTGCACACAAAAAATACAGACGCTATTGAAGGCATGGATCAAGTTACCAGTACTAACGAAGTCTTTGGTCAATGTGGAGAAATGGACCTATCTATAAAAAAGAGAAACAGACCTGAAGTCGCAAGAACTCCGCCGATAGAAGTGATCGGCGATGGCGAACAAGACAGCACGGTCGATTCCAACGGACCTACCGACTCTATCGTGACCGTCGACGATTCTACTGATTGCAGAAATTCCAGTGCCGAAAGTGAAAACAAGAGAGATGTCGACACCCCTATAAGTGAAAGAAGACGCATTCCCGTCTCTTTTGCCAGCGTCAGTTCAATGGCGGACAGCTCCGAGAGTGAGTCCCGTAATGATAGCAACAAAATGGAGAGTTCCAGTTCACATTCTGGTATCCTAGGATTCCTGCAAAACGATGATAGACAAAGGGACCGGGAGAGGAGATTTGCCTGTCCATTCTGCGGCAAGTGCGTAAGGTCTAAGGAAAATTTGAAATTACACGTACGAAAACATACGGGGGAGCGGCCGTTCGTGTGTCTATTTTGCGGAAGGGCCTTCGGTGGTAAAAGCGATTTGACGCGTCATTTACGCATTCACACTGGTGAGAGGCCCTATCACTGCGAAGCGTGCGGCAAGTGCTTCGCTAGAGCCGACTATCTTTCGAAGCACTTAACCACCCACGTACACAACGCCCGCTAACTGACCTCCGCGCCGTCCTATTTTCAATCTTTGCATACCTCTATAGTTAATGACCGAGTCGTATTATTATAAACAGCAAATTGGAATATTTTTTGTAAAATGTTTTTTAAATTTTACTACATTATTATGGATATATCTAAGCAGGTAACATTTTCTTTTATAAGGTGATCATATAGTTTATAAAATAATTTTCGAAATTTATTCTATAGGAAATAAAGCATTCTGAGGATTTTGTGTTACCCCTTCATATTTAAGCATTTTATTTAAAAGTGTTAACTTTGTTTTAGTAATGCAATTGTCCATGCTATCAAATAATGTGTTACTTGAAAAAGAGTGACTTTTAAATTATTATTTGGCGAAAGTAAGTTAGGGCATATACCATATAATTTATATAGGTATTTTATTTCTATACTAGAAAAAATAGTTACCCTGAATGTGCTAAGCTTTGTGTGCGATAATTTAATATTTGTAACAACAAGTCCAGTTTAGATGTCTACATAAGATGCTTAATAGTTTTATTTGCCATATTTTTGTATGCACACGCGATATAATAAGATTACAAAACTCATTCCATTGAAAGGAACCTAGGAAAATTGTAGTGGTGTCGATAGGTTAGTAGGAGAATGCAAAAAAGCTGTGATTCATACGATATAAGACCAGTCAACAAGATTTAGAACATCGAAAATGTTTTATGTAACCTAATTTTAAATATTATTAATGTTTAGATATAATTAAATAATAGATTTAAGAAATCTCTCTGTGCCAAAATATGTACCTCATAAAGTAAACATTGAAGTAGATAAACTAATTGTGTAGAATTGTTTGTACACATTTTGTTTAAGATTTTGTTGTTATGGATACCGTTACAAGTTGATATTTGTGTGCATAAAAACTATTCGAACTGTTGACCGATCGTTTTAATCAGAAAGAAGCTTGTAGGTAGGATAAGTGAACAGTTTCCAGTGTATTATCTATACCACAGAGTAAATTTGTTTCGTACTAGAGTCACACTAGCCCGCTTATAAACTGTAGTATTTTTAATACTAAATAAATACTGCCAATATTGTGATATTCTTTGTATAATTGTTAATTGTGACACATTAAATTAGAGCCAAGATGCTTTAACAATAATTAGTTTTGCACACTGTCGTACACAAAAAATATTACACTTGCACATAATGTAATCCTTATATACGCAAAAAAAACGGTTTTAATTTCTTTATCACACGACACGCAACGCCCTGCGCTTTCATAGACGACGTTATACATATGCATAGGTAATATTATGTTTGATATTTGAATTAGCGCCTTTGCCGTTTCCACGAGCACCGCTACGCCTCAGACTTTCAGACGCTCTGCTCTTCGCAACAAATAACACGTTTCGCCCGCCTGACAGCCCTGATAACTCAGGGCTGTCAGGTTTTTCTTAGAATTATTTCAAGTTATGAAACTTGAAATAATTCAATGAAAACAATAATGTACTCCATTTTTATGTTACGAAGTAGATAACGACGATCTAAAGAAAATTTTAAGGCCTAACATTTTCTGTATTCTTAATTCTCACAATTTAATTTCTTTGGTTGCTGATACATATGACTCAATCGATAGCCACATACTATTTGAATGCTGTTCTCCTTAATGTATATTTTAACAATAGAAGAGATTATATTATTGTAACAAATTGGAACGTCTTAAAGGCATAAGTACATAATAAAATGTCAATTAAAATACTGTAAGATGATCAATTTTTAATAAGTAAGTTTATAGGCATTACGCGGGCTAGTGTTGTCGATTTGAATATATTATATTGAAATACGATATTATAGATAAACGTACGTTACGTCAATGCCAATGGATGTAGCATATTTCTACATATTGAAAATCTTGGCAGATATATGTCATTACATGTCAGAGTTGTCGTTTGATTTTAGAAGTATTTGCAACTTGGGAATATGTGTTTTTAATCCATAAATCATTTGTTTTATGTAGACATCAAGAAATGATTTAAAAGTGAAACTATTTGTGTCGTAAGAGGCCATACAGAGAAACTTAAACTGGAAATGAGCATTTAGCAGCTTCCTGATAACAGATCAAAATAAAAAACTGCGTTTGCCAACCCACCCGCTAAGCGTGGCAACTATGGCAAATATCCCCTCCACCCACGAGGCAATCTAGGAGGCCTATGTTGAGCATTGAATTTTTTCATAGTCTGTAATGAATGAATGAAAAATTATAAAAATTACAATGGAATATTTTTCACACACACACACACACACACAACAGTTACAGTAACAGAACCCATTCAATGATCTGTGGCCGTAACCGAACAGGATAACTATATTGATTGTGTTATAGATAGTTTAAAGATTTCTCTCGGTGGATCTTTCAAAAGACACAATGCTACTAAATTAGCATTATTATGTATCGAAAATGATTAAACGGCCTAATAATTTTTTTTTGTTAATAATCACGGTAATTTTCTTTATTTTTGTAGCATTTTCCCTATTTGCAAATACAGTTCCGTGCCTGTTACCTTATTTACAATATTTATACATTAACGATATGCGGACATATTCAGTGCAACGAAATAGCCTAGGTTCTCTAGTAGTAACGGTGAAATGTATAGTCTTATTTATTTAGTTAAAACTGTTGTCTTACGTAAACCGCTGGGCTGGTTAGTTAGAATTTAATATTTCGTTTTCTTTATGTTCATTGTTATTATCAACTTCATAAGAATTTTAAATTTTATTAAAAATTAAATAAAAATATTACGCATATATGTAATAGGAACATTGCCAGAGGGATATATTATAAGGAATATATTTAGGTAGTCGAAAACTTAGTATAAACGAGAAGCAATACTCTGAATTTTTATTTTTATTTTGAATACCTAAATACTCTAAATGCAATATGGCGTGAGTAGGTACTGAAATCAGGTTGAATTCTTGTACGTATAGACATTAAGTTCGACAACAATAGGTCATGGTGTAAAATACGATGCGTGGAAACGATTATTAGATTCAATCATGTAACTGTAAACATTTTACAAAACAATCCATCGAAAAGAAAAAGTATAATGTAAGGTTAACATTGAATGTGTGTATATGTAGATATTTTGCCATTACGTCAAATTTATGAAAATTAATTATTCGATAATTGATGTTGACTGTTTTTTATAATTATATCAGCGGTAGTTACTTGATGTTGTGGTGTAAATTAGTGTCTTATAGATTTAAGCTCATAAACCACTCAAAGTAAGTACCTACAGTTTTTCAATATTTTGAGTAGTCGAGGTAAGCATTCCTCCATAGCCAATTTATAATGATTTACTTTTGTTTTATTATTGATATTTGTAACGGTAAAGTGGTGGTACCTTTGAGTGGTTCATTATTTTGAATTTTTGTAGTGTATTATAATATTGGTGTGGTCTTTACATTTATACATATGATATGTTCGTATAACATACATGTTAACTGTAATTTATATTATTTTTCGAATCAGATTCTAAAATATCGAGCACAGCAAACATTCTGTACATAGGCGTGTGCTAACCAGATCAAATGTGATAAATTAGGGTTTAAGCGATTGGACTACAATCGGCGACTGTTCTAACTGAACGGTTAACACTGAAAACGGGGCAAGCAGCACCCAGTATATTAACCGATTACAGATGTTTTATACAAGTTTCTTG